TTCGTTAATGGGGGTGAACTGGAGATGGACAGAGTTTTTTTAAACGGGTACAAAGATGAAAACTGTACCCCCCGCCCCCGCTTCGATCCACTGTCATCCCTATGCAACGGTGATATAACGTTAGCATTGTCACGTGGTATCACAAATCAATAATATGCAGATAAATAAGGAAAGTGAACTTTATACAAACTAATAACTGCCCGTCCATGTAAGCATATAAATATTCACTCTTCTTCCATATAAATTAATAACTACTCATGTGAAGTTCACTTTGTCCATTTGAGGTTTTATTATTGGTGATACTATGCCATCAATGCTGATATGATAACTGTTGTATTGAATATTTAAGATAGTAATCACCCTAGTAAAAAAAGTGGGATCACCTTATCCACTTGTTTATTTACTATTAGACAGTTACACTGCGTGATAATACTAACGTAGTGTGATCGTTACACTGAATATTTACTCGAAATACTCTTAGAAGATTAGTGTGAGAATGACACTAGGGCTGTTAACATATTAGATCTAGATCGGATATTGATTTGTCTAGATCCAAATCTGATAAAAAATTTTAGTTCTAAATACAATCTGTTGATATGAAGAATTTCAAAATCTTAATTTATATCTGTATTTGTATCTATATCCGTATCTATTAATAATCAAATATTCAATTTGATTTAAAATTTTGAATCCCAACAAAATTTTATAACAAATTAATAATTTTATCAAATTTAAGTTAACTTTCAACCTAATTTAATCAATCAATTATTCTATTCAATAATTTTTGTTTAATTTCATGTTAATCTTATTAATAATTTAATTAAGGAGCTGTTTGATAACACAATTTAAGGCTTAAAACTGAATACTTTAAGTAATTAATGAATTAAGCCCGTCTCATAACCTAAAATTTTTACAACTTAATATTTTATGCACTTTTTAAAAATAGACTAAAATTTCAAGTAACAAGCCACCTACTTATCAATTAATGCTAAAAATGTTAGTTAGTAGAATTTTATCTATTCTTTATAATAGACAAATATACCCTTAATGCATTTTATACTCTTAACTTTTCAATACCCACCATTCACCAACACTACCATTGTGCTATCGTTGTGACCACCAATACTACCATCACCACCATTATGCCACCGTCACTGCCACCATTACCACCGCCATCATCATCGTGTTGTCTTCACCACTACTATTATGCCATCACTATCATTGTGTCGCCGCCACTACCACTACCATTATGCCACCGCAATCACTACCACTACCACTACCACCATTGTGTCATCGCCACCATCACTCACGTCGTCACCACTACCATCGTTGTGCCATCGTCACTATCACCACCACCACCACTACCTTCATCACAGTTATTATTGTGTCGCCACCACCACTACCATTATGCCATCACCCCCAGCACCACCACCACAGACCATTGTGTTATTGCCACTATCACTGTCGTCGCCACCACCATAACAACCACAATTGTGATGGTGGTTGTAGGAAATAAAGTAGTTGTGGAGAAATGATTAAAAAAAAGAGAAATATTAGAAGAATAATAATTTTTAGACTTTAACTTCTTATATTTGTTAAACAGTTTTATTCAATTCAATTATTAAATTTTATTTGATATCAAACAGTTTACAAATTAAAAAATTTAGCATTCAACACTTAAAATTTATCATTTAGTTTTCAATATTCAATTTTATCAAACACCATCTAAGTATATATATATATATATGTGTGTGTGTGTGTGTATAAAGGGACGGAATCAGAATTTTATTTTGAAGGGGCAACAATGATATGGGTAAAAATTTAATTCAATAAGGTTATTTACCGGTGATTGTTAATGATAAATTTTTATTTATAAAAAAATATCTAAAATTTAATTTGTATGTAATGCCACTGAAAAATTAATTTTAAGCTCAAAACTCAAAAATTAGATCATGTCATCATTCAAATTCTTTTGTGACAATATTATCGTCTTTTTTTCTTGTTTATAATCTAGATTCTTATAAGTCCATCAATTTTTATAATTTCCCAATTTCCCTTTGTAAATAAAATAAAACAAATCTCTCGTTAATTTTATATTGCAAAACTAAATGCATTTTAGAATTCCAAAGATGCACATTCAAACAAGTTTGAAGATTGGGGAAAATTATATATATATTTTTATATATATGGAAAGTTGGATGGATAAATAAAACCTCATTTTTGGTAAGAAATAACAATAGGAAGGATGAAAAAGTGGATGAATTAACTTTTCTTCCAACTCACTAAAATCAATTCTTCCAAAATCAGACAGAAAGTGGATAAAAAATTAATTATTTATGTTGAAATGTATTTTATTTGTCTATATATTATGTATAAATTAATTTCATATATAAATACAATAATAAAATATGTAACTATATATATATATATATATATAATAAAAATTAAAAATTAAAAAAAAATTATTTTAAAACAAAAATTTTCATTTTAACTAGGAGTGAAAATTTTCGATTCAACACGTTGACATGACTCGAGCTCAATACGAATTTTATGATACGAACTTAATTATAACTCGACACAAACTTGAAAATGACTTGACACGCGAATAAAAAATATAAAAAACTCATAATTTTATGACTCAACACGAATCCGGCATGACACGACTCGATTGTTACCCCTAATTTTAGCTAGCACAAAAAAAAATTAGTTATTTTTATTTTCCATCCATCCAACCCAACACAGAAGAAGGAAAGTGTATCATTCCTACTTTGTATCCTTGAAAGATAGAAAATATATCCCTCCTACTTTGTATCCTTGCTACTTTGCATACTTCTTACGGAGCATTAGTATAGAACTTAGATAAATCTTAATGTTGAATTGAAAACTCATTTCTGAAATACTTGTCAATTTATCGTCATATTTTACGATGATCCGCCAGCTAAAATAATATGAACGAATTATACTTTTCAAATGAGAATTAGAAAAACTGTCTTCATCATCATTGTTCATCAATCAAATACCATTGTGCTAAAAAAATAATGACAAACTAACCCGTTTGAATATCCAGAATATTAAAGTTTTAGTAGTGAATATTCTGATATATTAATAAGTTTTCTTTTCCAAAGGTTATTTTAAAAGGTGAGGCTATTTTCACCCCCACAAATATTCAGTTTCACCCTATTAAATATTTTATAATCAAACTACTAAGTCTATATCATCTATATCCACTTCATTTTAACTAAGACTATCACATGCTACACACATCTCTTTAATAACAAGTCCATCTTTTATCTTCTTAAAACTAAGGTTTTATTCACTATTTCCTCTTATACACCCAACACAAAAGAGTTTTTTCATATATAAATTTCTATAGTGAGATACATGTTAGTATTACTTTTCGGTTTAATTTTTTGTTAGATTTCATGTGTGCTATGTGGATTTTTTTATTTTTTTTTGTGTTTTGGTATTCTATCAAACTTAATTTTTTTTTATTTAGGGTTTATATGTATGTGTATATATATGCATGTATTCATACAAATCTACAACAAGAACGAAAAACGAAGCATTTCAAATTCTTGTGTTGATTACTTATAATTGTACATATAAATTATTTTCGTAGGGATAATCAACGAATTTCTTTGATCCACTTTGTGTTCATTCAAAGAGAAGTAAATATTGTTGCCCACACTTTAGTAACACAAGTTGCTGCTTCTCATGTTAAGCTAATGGAGGTTGTTTTTACAAAAGTTAAAATAGGCTCGGATTACAAATAGAGAAAATGATGTACTGATCTTATCAATACATATTGAAAAAATTTATTTGGGTAGGTGCATGACAGAAGATAGTGAATGAAGCCCTAGTTATGAAAATATAGAATATGGACTTGTTATTAAAAAATTTCATATAGCACCGGATGGATTTAGTTAAAATAAAATAGATATAGAAAAAGTGAGTTTAATAATTTAATAATAAAAATTTTAATAGGGTGAGAAGAAATATTTGTAAGGCGAGAATAGAGCCACCCCTATTTTAAATAACTTTCACAAAAAGGTATTATGGGAATTCGACATGCATAATTTATAAGTGATTATTTATGTTTTAAATTTTTGTCAAATAACATAACTGAAATCGTTATTGATTACTTTTGGAGAACAAAATTAGGTTTGGAAAACAAAAAAGAAAAGAAAAACAAAGATCAATTTATGCATCATACTAGATTTGTTTTTGAGTCCAACTTATTTATGAAAAAATATTAGGTGTAACACCGACATCATGTTATTATTGACATGTAGTGTCACTATTTAATAAAAAACATAATAAATAAACAAGTCAATCCTACATATTATAGTAGCCACCTTGTCATGTTATTTAATAACAAATAAAGTTTACTTGTTCATTTATATGTTTATTATTGAATTGTGATATCATGTGTCAATGATGAAATAATATCACTATTACACTTAATATTTACAAGGAGAAAGATCGACACCTTAAAATATAACAATAGAAACTAGTCATTAAGTCAAAAAAAAAAATTATTCGAATCTAATTTAGAGGTTTAATCCGAAAACTAAATTCAACGTAATTATTGGATCGATAATCAAATAATTATATTAAAGCGATATCATCCAGATTAGATGTCAAAGTAGGTATTGCTCTTGAGCCAATCGCGATCCATAGCTACTGGATTTGGAGCCACGTTTTTCTTTGCTTTGACCACCGAACAGCCCGTCAGAATGTATGACCAGTAAGAGAAGACCAATCATATCCCCCCCTCTCTCTCTCTCTCACTCTCTCTCTCTCACACACACACACACACACACAAATATGCCAATAAATTAGCCGCATTCTTTTACCGGTGCACCAAACACTTTAGTTTCTCCTTCCACACTTCATCAATAATCTCCGTCTTCTGCACTTCTACTTTCTCATATGATCTTCACATAAATACACAAAGACACAGATTTAAAAAATTAACTACTTTTCCATCTTAAATATTCATGGACAATATCGAAGTTCCTGAGTACTTCATCTGCCCCATCTCTCTCCAAATCATGAAAGACCCTGTGACTGCTATAACAGGCATCACATACGATCGAGGGAGCATTGAACACTGGTTATTCAAATTCGAATGCGACAACATGATATGTCCTGTGGCTAAACAGGCCTTGTCTAAAGACTCAGACTTGACGCCGAACCACACTCTCCGGCGACTCATCCAAGCATGGTGCATCACCAATGCATCAATGGGTATTGATCGAATCCCGACTCCGAAACCTCCTCTTAGCAAGTTTCATGTCCTCAACCTCGTGAAAGGGCTTTGGGTCCCAAAATTACAGCTGAAAACGCTGGAAAAATTGGAAGTCCTAGCAATGGAGAACGAAAGGAACATGAAATACATGGTTGATGCTGGTGTAGTTAAGGCAATGGTGACTTTTATCATAGCATCTTACAAGAAAAAAGAAACAACTGGTCTTGAAGAAGCTCTGAGTATTCTCCATCTTTTCCGATCGGCGGAGATGAAGATTGTTCAAGATGAAATTGTCAAATTATTGATGCCTTGAAGTGGGTTTTAGAGTGTGATTGGGATAATAAAGTGACCGTGAAGAACCATGCAGTTTTGTTATTGAAGACAATCACCGGAAAAGCTGACTCCGGTGTATTGGAGAGACTGAAAGTCGAATTCTTTCAGAGAATTATACAAGTTCTAAGAGAAGGTATTTCTCAACAAGGAATAAAAGCTGCTTTGCAGGTCTTATTAGACGCTTGTCCATGGGGAAGAAACCGAATAATGATGGTTGAAACTGGGGCAGTTTTCCAACTCATAGAGCTCGAATTGGGTTCTCTGGAAAACAGAACCACCGAGCTCATCTTGGGAGTATTGTTCCATCTCTGTTCATGCGCCGACGGGAGAGCTCAGCTTCTGAGTCAGCCGGCGGTATAGCTGTGATCACGAAGAGAATTCTGAATCTTTCTCCGGCAGCCGATGATCGAGCCATGATGATTGATGGGACTTTTCTGAAATGCTCCATGATGAACACACGTGTCATCGGTATTACCAAAAAACACTGTTGCTAAGATCAAACACTATCGGCGCGTAAAGGTCCTCGCCCCTGAGGTACCGTCATATAGGATCATGCATTCAGTATGTTTTACAACCGACACGTGGCCTCGGTCTGATATGGTACCTCGGTCGGCATACCTCCCTCGGTACCGAGATGATCCTTTCCTCGGTGCCGAGAGGTACCCGTCCTGGACGCTTCCTCTACTCCAGGATAAGCTATTGACGTACAGGTCATTAGCCTAGACTATTCATCATGACCTCGTCTTACACAATTAGTGTCAGAATGTACTGGATTGCAGAGGTCACATCCAATAAGGGATAGACGCGTGGCATATGATATCACATCGAAGACAGAGAAACCGCATGCCGTTGCTGACACGTGACTTGGGAAAGCAAACTATTAATTACACCATTCCCTTGATGAGACCGCATTCAATGCGGTAAGGCTCGGAAATGAAAGGCAATAAATGCTCCTAATACAGAGCACTTATTGCATCCTCCCTGAGAGGAGTACATTGTACCGTCGGCATCCCGATGACCCAGCATTGATTGCTCGGGACCCCGAGCAGTTAAGAAGAGAAGACATTCCTCATCAGAATCAGTGCGCACACTGCCAGTACCTAATGATCATCTACTGACTACACTGACAGCAATCATGAGCTTTTGAGGTATAAATACTCCTTGCAAAAGGCAAGATGGGTATGCAACAAAAAAACTCTTTACTATAATACTCACTCAGTGTTTTCTCCTTTCTCTCTCTCTTTCAAAGACTGACTAGATCGTCGGAGGGGATACGCCGGAAAACACTCCGGCGCCCTTCTAACTTGTTCTTCTTTGTTCCAGGAACCTCTTTCAGCCTTACTGGATCGTTCTTCCGTTCCCAGGGTCTCCCATTGCCGTTCCAGGTTACCACCGGACCTCGCAGGCTGTTCCAAGCAGCGTGTTTGGTCACTCAACCGGCTCACTCGAGTTCACCAAGGGAGAGATCTGTTCTCGTTTTTTATATTGTGCAGGATCTTGCACGCACAATCTGGCGCCGTCTGTGGGAAACGACTAGTTTTCCTAGTTTTTTTCTCTATAAAGAACAGTGACCATGGTGAACACTCGACAGAAAGGGAAAGGACCCCACCAAAGGAGTCTCGAGTTACAAGCTCCCTGTCATCACGGAGGAAGGGATCACACCAATACGAATAAAAGTGCCTCTACTCGGTCAAGAGGGGTTACCCCTCAAACCAGTATGGGAATCAGGTCAGAGGGATCAGCCCCCTTGGCTCGTCAGCTGGCGGAGGTGATTGAAGAAAAATTTGGCGATAGATTACGTCAGCTGGAAAAGGACAATGTAAACGTCCTAAGCCGGCTCAACGAGTTTGCCGCCTCTGGCGAAGGATCGAGGGATTCATTCCTCTCGTGGGCTTCCCGCCCGGGAGGCGGAAACGAAGGATCTAAGAAACCACCTAAACAACAAAGCAGAAAGCTCTAGGGCCCCAAAGCGACCCAGAGCCGGCGAGCATCATCATGACAACCATTCAAGGAAAGCAAGGCCATTGGCCCTGGACGACCTCCGGCGAGGTTTGTCTAGACGGAGGAAGGGAGATGAATCCGAGGAGGACTCAACCCAATCCACACGACGCCCAGGAAATGAGGGGCTTACCGATGAACTCAAGGACTTCAGAAGGCATCCCGTCAGGGAAGAAATTGATCTCAGAGCCCGGTTAGACTCCAGGAGAAAGGGTAAGGCTGTCCAGGATGAGGCCGAGGACGAAGTCATACAAACACCCTTTACGAGGGAGATCAGTGAGATGGAGGTTTCAAGAAAGTTTGTCGTGCCGCGGTTCAAAACTTATGACGGGCGGTCCGATCCCGAAGCCCATGTCAGGCAATACAAGCAGATGATGTCCCTCTATCATTCGGACCAACGGTTTCTCTGCCGAGTGTTTCCTATGAGCTTGGGGGACTCTGCGATGAAGTGGTTCGAGGCGCTTCCCCCAAACAGTATTGGGTCCTGGAAGGAATTGACTAAGCAGTTCCTGGCTCGATTCATTACGGGGAGTAAGCGCCCCAAAGACATTGGATCATTGCTGACCCTCAGACGGAGGGAATCCGAGACTCTTCGCCAGTACGCCATCCGATACTGGGAAGAGGTTAATGAGATAGAAGGCTGCTCGGAGGTCATGGCAGCAGCATCTTTCCGGCTCGGCTTGGCAAGGGACACGGACCTGTACCGATCCCTGACCAAGAAGACTCCCTCGGATATGGGGGAACTAATGGCCCGGATAAACAAGTACTCGAGGGTTGAGGACGAGATGGGAAGCAGCAAAGGCCGAGCCCTCCAATCTAAAAGAAAAGAGAAGGAGCGGGAAGATATTCCCCGAAAGGGATTGCTACCCCCTCCAGGGGGTTCGTCCAGAGGAGTTCACACTGTTTTCAAGGAACCCATCTTCAAGTTGCTCCATAAAATCAAGCACGAGCCGTTCTTCAAATGGCCGCCCAGGATGCAGAGCGACCCCTCCACCCGTGATCAAAAGGTTAGGTGTTCCTATCACCGGGATTTCGGGCATCGCACCGAAAGCTGCAGGGTGTTCAAATCGTTCTTGGAAAGCTTGGTCCGAGACGGACATTTGAAAGAGTACATAGAGCCCAGGCCAGAAGAGAGACGAGCCCTTGCCCCGACCGAGGAACCGGACAACATCATAGATGTCATTCATATATGTCCCCTGGATCGCCCCACGTCCAAGGAACTCGAGTCCGACCTCAAGAGGGTAGCTTTTACGAGGAAGGTAGCCGAGGGTGATGTAGGGCCACCAAGTAAAAGGGCCAGGACGGGTGAGCTTGGCATTACATTCTCCGACGCGGATTTGACAGGCGTAGTGACTCCCCATAACGACGCCCTTGTCTTGACCCTAAGGATAGGGAAATTCGATGTCAAAAGAATTTTGATAGACTCTGGAAGCTCCTCGGAGGTGATGTACTTCGAAACTTTGAAACGGATGGGTCTTGGCCCCAAAGACCTCACCAAAGTCAGGACACCCCTCATCGGGTTCAACGGCTCATTCGCCTTGCCCGTGGGGAAAATCACATTGCCAGTTGTCACTGGTCCCTTTATCATCGACACCGAGTTTGTTGTGATCGATACGGACTCTCCCTACAACGTGATTATGGGGCGAACATGGCTGCATGCGTTGGGAGCGGTGCACTCCACTTTCCACCAGAAATTAAAATTCGCCACGCCAGAAGGTATCATGGAGATCCGGGGGACCAAGCGTCCGCGAAAAACTGTTTTTATTCAGCCGTTCGAGCCGGGGCGTCCAGCCAGGAGAAGGGGCGAGCACCGGAAGAGATTATGGAAAAATAGCAATTACAGTCCGGGCGTCCAGGAATGGATGACCCCCGGATAGACCCAACTGAGCGGTCAGTAGAAGACCTCCGGAAGGTGCCCTTGATAGAAGGAGAAGAAGAGAGGTATTTCCTAGTTGGAACCTCGATGCCCACAGCCGAACAAGAGGAGATGATCGAGTTCCTAAGGGGAATACAGACGTGTTCGCGTGGAACGAGATGGAAATGACGGGGGTAGACCCCGAGATAATCACACACAGGCTGCATGTTGACCCGTCGCACAAGCCAGTCAAACAGAGGCCACGACGCATGGCCCCGCATCACACCAGCGCGGTCAACGAGGAAATCGACAAACTCCTGAAGGCCGACGCCATTCGAGAGATACAATTCCCAGAATGGCTATCTAATACGGTGTGCGCAAAGAAGAAAGGGGGAAATGGCGTGTCTGCGTAGACTTTACAGATCTGAACAAGGCATGCCCCAAGGATGACTACCCCCTGCCAAAGGTGGACCAGCTGGTAGATGCCACAGCCGGATATGAACGAATGGACTTCCTGGATGCCCGAGCAGGATATCATCAGATCCCTCTCTATGCCCCGGATCAAGAAAAGACGGCGTTTATCACTCCGAAGGGAGTTTACTGTTACAAAGTGATGCCGTTTGGACTAAAGAACGCCGGGGCAACATACCAAAGACTGATGAATCGGATGTTCAAAAAGCAGATCGGCAACACCATGGAGGTCTACATAGACGATATGCTGGTAAAGAGCAAACGGAGTTGTGATCATCTGACAGATTTGGCGGATACCTTCTCCACCCTCAGGGAGTATGGGCTGAAGCTGAATGCGGCAAAGTGCGTTTTTGGAGTGGAATCAGGTAAATTCCTCGGATACCTGGTTAGTCAACGGGGAATCGAAGCCAACCCAGATCAGATTCAAGCGATCCTGGACATCCGGAGCCCCCGCACTGTCCGAGAAGTCCAGAAACTCACAGGGATGCTGGCTGCACTTAACCGTTTCGTCTCACGCTCCTCGGACAAATGCAAACCCTTTTTCGGAGCAATCAAGAGTGCTGGGAAGAATATGTGGAGCCAGGGGTGCGAGGACGCCCTGGCTGGAATCAAAGAATACCTAAGGACTCTTCCAACCTTGTCCGTCCCCATCCAGGGGGAGATGCTGTTCTTGTACCTGGCAGTATCTGAGTTTGCGGTAAGCGGGGTACTTATCCGTGAGCATGAGCACCGCCAGAAGCCGATTTACTATATAAGCAAGGCGCTCCTGGACGCAGAGACAAGATATCTACCCCTAGAGAAACTGGCTCTATCCCTGGTCACCACTGCAAGGAAACTGCGGCATTATTTCCAGGCGCACCCAATCACTGTCCTTACCGATCAGCCCTTGAAAGCAATCTTGAGGAAAGCGGAACTCTCCGGAAGGATTTCCAAGTGGGCAGTAGAGTTGGGGGAGCACGACATTCATTTCAAACCCCGAACTGCGATAAAAGGTCAAATATTGGCAGACTTCATAGCTGAGTTTTCGGGGGAGCATCCCGTTCCAGAAGGACCGCCTCCTCCCGACTTAGCGTCTCCAACGAATTG